AAGCTGATGACGATGGTGGTGATGATGACGCCGATGATGGTGAAAATGATGGTGATGATGGCGCCGATGATGATGGTGATTCTGATGCTGAGGATGGCAATGACGATGACCATAACGATGACGATCATGTTGATGATGATGCTGATGAGCATGGGAATGATGATGATGATGATGATGATGATGATGATGATGATGATGATGATGATGATGATGATGATGATGATGATGGTGATGCTGATGATGATGATGATGATGATGATGATGATGATAATGATGCTGATGATGATGCTGATGATGGTGATTATGACGATTATGATGATCGTGATGTCGATGATGGTGTGATGACGACGACCATGAGGATGATGATGGTGATCATTATGATGATTATGCTGATGAGCATGATGATGAAGCTGGGAGGAGGGAGGGTGAGGAGGAAGGAACGAGAGGAACTCGCGGCGCTGTCTCAACAAAGCGAGGACCTGACACCACAGGATGGTTGGGGAATGTATACACCCAAAGGGATATGACCGAAGACGAAGGGAGCGGATAGCAAGGGTTTGGGATATACGTGTTGGATGGCCCGCGAGCAGATAAGAGCGAACAGTCTTAAACTGTTGTTTGTTTTTTGTATGTGTCGTTGTTGTTGCTGTTGTTTTCAGGGGGGTATGGGTTTCTCTCTCCCAGAGCCTCCACACAACACCCTTTTCAATACGTTGTTCACGCGGATCCTCGACCCCCGTGAGAGCTGCCTTGTTTGATTCATGTTTCTGTCCACCAGAACCTGCCCAAACACCCCATGAGGGGGGTGAGACGGGGCAGCCTTATAAAAACCCTCGAAGTTTTTTTGGGGGATCAGGGTTTTCCCCGCCCAGACCTTCCCAAAAACCCTCAGGGTTCTTTTTGGTGGGTGGGGATTAAGGGACTTGTCCGTTGGACCCCATCAAAAACGTGTCGGTGGGGTGGGTGGGAGGGGGTTTCCCCCAGACCTCCTCACAAACCTCCCTTAGTATTCTCTTCCCTCGGATTCCCCCCCCTCAGGAGAGATTGCTGGGGGGATTCGTGGGGGGTTCGGGCCCGCCAAAACTCGCGTTCAGAGGAGTGTTTGGGGGTCCGACGTGGTCTCCCTCGAACCTCACCAAAACACGTTCTGATTTGTTGCACGACCGTCCTCGTTTTGAAGAGACAGTGCCCCGCGTCTTCTTCCTTTCGTCCTCACTCTCCTCCTGCCGCTGCGTTCTGATGCCGATTGCCGCGGACCCCGGTCCGAAGGATGAGCTTTGTCATCCCACCAGGAAGCCCCTTTCCCAAGGTTTTTTTTCGGTGGGGAGGTCCAGTATAAGAACGCTTCTAATCCCACCGCGAGCCCCCGCTCAGGAGGGTTTTTGAAGGGTGGGTGGGGAATTCCCCCCATCCCTTAAAACTCTCGCTTGAATTGGGGGTTTTGGGGGAGCCTGGGGGAACTCCTTCCCAATCCCCCCAACCTCTCAGGTTTTTTTTGGGGGGAAATCCAGGGGTGAACCCGCCCGAACCATACCACCAAGTTCTTCACAGGAGGGTTTGTGAAGAGGTCTGAGGGACAAGCCTTCGTTAATTCCCCCGCATCACCCCTTTGAGGGTTGCGGGGTCCAAGGAAAAAGCAAGTGAACCTTTCCAAACATCCACCTCAGCAGGGATAGTGAAGAGACCCGACAGAATTCCCCCCCTCATCTGTCACAGAATCGAGGGGTCCAGCAGACAAACACAGAATCCAGCCAGCAAGCCCTCCCTCTGTTTTTTTGGGGGGAGAGGTCCAGAGGAACAGCCCTCCCCGACGGGGGAGCAGGTGCGGTTCGGCAGAGCAGCCCCATTCTACTTGGTGGAGCAACCCGCGCAAGGTTTTTTATTGTTGGGGAGGAGGAGGAGGAGCAGGAGGAGGAGGAGGAGGGAGGAGGAGGAGGAGGAGGAGGAGGAGCAGGAGGAGGAGGAGGAGGAGGAGGAGGAGGAGAAGTCCCTGGGAGCAGCTGTTTCGCTTGCCTTGCGCAGTGGTGCTCTAGAGCTCGGGCGCCTTGATTTTTTCCTCGCCGTGCCGTGCCGTGTCTTCGCCGGCCTCCCCTGGCCCCCCAAGCCTTACGTCGGGCCTGTCCCTCTACAGGAGGAATGTTCACTTTTTTTGGATTTGTTAGGAGTTATTTTTCCGTTTTTTTTTGTTCGTTTTTTTGTTTTTTGTTTTTTTTTGGGGGGCATATTCTTGTGTTTTCCCGCAAAATCCGCCCGCAGGAGGACATGCCCGACTCGTCGGTCTGTTGGCAGGCTTGGGGCATCTTGCAGGGAGTCTGGGGCGGTGTCCGAATTTCTTGGCGCCGTCCGGGGGCCGATACAGGGCGCCGGTGAGCAAAGAAACGGGCTTTCCAGCAGTTGCCCCACGGGAACTTGTTATCGCTCGAGGGCCCTGGGACCCGCGCGAGTACTGGGGCACGCTTAGGAAGTTCATAGGCTGTCCTCAAAGGAGCCCCTAGATTTTTGATTGCCAGGATTCTCCGTCGGAGTGCCCGGATTTGTCGTCGTATGTCCAGACTGGCGGCACGCGCCAGCGCGCCGCAGGCACGGCGGCGGACGCTTGGCTTCTTCTGTCCCTTATCCGGGCCCCGGGGCAGTCGAACACGACCTGGAAAAAGAAGGGGTCCAGAGTTCTTGGGGCCCACGTTGTGAAAGACCCGGGCGCGACGTCAGGGCCTGGCAGCGGCGGAGGGCCCAGACTTCCCACGGCATTACTGCCCCGGACTGACGTTCGGAGTCCGTCTCTGCGTTTGGTGCCCCGTTTTCGGCTTCGTCGATTTCCAGAGAACGATCGGTGAAGACCAACTGGCCCCAGTCAGACAAGGGTAGGGCCGAGACAAATGGGTGCCAGATCCTGGAAGACGTGCTTGCACTTCGGGGTTCTCGTCCTCCGCGTCGGTCTGGCAGCCATGCGGTCGCCGTCGATGCCCCGTCGCCGCCTCGTCGCCGCCTCGTCGCCGCCCGTCGTCTGGGCTTGCGCGTCGGTCTGGCGGCTATGTGGTCGCTGCCGCCGCCGTCGCCACCCCGTCGCCGCCTCGTCGCCGTCATTCCTCTAGGCCCGCGAGTCGGGTCCGCCGCACTGTGGTGTTGGCCCCCCCTTGTCGCCGCCTGCCCCGAAGGGGACCGCTCCGCCGGAGGTGGCACGCAGGCTGAACTGAGCTGAACTGAACTTGTCGCCGCCACGTCGCCGCCCATCGTCTGGGCCTGGGTGGCGGTCCCCCGCCGCCGTGTGGCCGCCGTCACCGCTCCGTCGCCGCGTGGTCGCCGCGCGCCGCGTTGTCGTCGCACTGCTTTGCATTGCTTTGCGTTGCTTTGCACTGCTCGGCGTTGCTTTGCGTTACTTCGCTTTACCTGGCGCTGCTTTGCGCCACGTCGCGTTGCGTTACATCGATTCGCATTGCTTCTTGTGGCGCTGCTTTTCGCTGCTTTACATTCATGTGCATTGTTTTTTTGTTCTCTGCGTTGGTTTTCATTGCAATACATCGTTTTCCAGTGGTTTTAATGGCTTCGCATTGCTTTGCGATGCTTTGATTTGTAACGCATTGCTTTGCATTGCTTGGTTTTGCTTTGCATTGCTCTGCAGTGATTTGCATTGCTTTGAGCTTCTTGGTATTCCTTTGCATTGTTCTGCAATGCAGTGCATTGTTTTGGATTGCTTGGCTTGCGTTGCTTTGCACTGCTTTACACGTCTTTGCTTTGCTCTGCAGTGCTTGGCGCGTCTTTGCAGTGTAATGTATTGTTTTACGTTGCTTGCTTCGCATTGCTTTGCGTTGCGCTGCATTGCAACGCATTGCTTTGCGCTGCTTGGTATTGCTTTGCATTGCTCTGCAGTTCTTTGACTTGCTTTGCGTTATTTCGTATTGCTTTGCGTTGCCCTTCTTTGCATTGCTTGGCTTTGCTTTGCATTGCGTTGCATTGCGTTGCATTGCTTTGTGCTGCTTTGCATTTTTTGCGTTTTGTATTGATTTGCATTGCATTGCTTTGCATTGCGTCGCATTGTTTGTATTGCTTTGCATTGCTTTGCATTGCCTTGCACTGCGTTGCATTGCGTTGCTTTGCTTTGCATTGCTTTTCATTGCCTTGCGGTGCCTTGCATTGCTTTGCATTGCATGATATTGTTTTGCTCTGCTTTGCAGTGCTCTGCATTGCTTTACTCTGGTTTGCATTGTTTTGCATTGCTTGGCATCATTTAAAATACACATCATGTGGATTGTACCGCCTGTATTGCACCACACTGGTAGCACCACCTGGATGCATTGCACCCTCTGCGACAAGCAAACGCTGCTCGGGCTCTACGCAGGCTGACAGATTCCGGGAGAGCTCCAGGAACGAGCAGGAGGCCGTTTTCTGAAGCCCTGCGCGCGCATTCGCAAATGTGGCCGAAAGACGTCGAGCGTGCGAGCAGCTCGTCGAGCACGCTGGCGCGCTTCGAGAGCATTCTCTAGTCAGGGAGCCCTCTGCCGTGAGCGCGGACGCGTCCAGGCTGGGAGGCAAGATGGCATCGCGGTGGGGGCCGTCGGCGACGACGGTGCCGCGACGACGTGCCACAGTCAACCCGCACAATAAGGACGGGCAGCCTTCCCAAGGGCACCCTTGCGTCCTTGCCTCCTCGGTCCATCCTTGACCACCTTCGTCGGCCGCGCCCCGCTCGAAGAGCTTCGAAATGGGCGTCCAAGGCCCTTGCATCCTTATGCCCTCAAGCATCGCAAAGAAGTTCAGGGGTTGATAGGTTTTTTTTTTTTTTTTTTTTTTTTTTTTTTTTTTTTTTTTTTTTTTTTTTTTTTTTTTTTTTTTTTTTTTTTTTTTTTTTTTTTAAAAAAAAAAAAAGGCCCTTGCATCCTCATCCCGCATCCTTGCTATACGGGTTGACCGCAGGTGCCACTGTCTAAGATGAGCTCGGCGTCGGAGACAGGGGGCGCGCCGACCGCCGCCTGCCGACTCCATTTCTCAGAAGGCTTCTCCTCCTATCGCTATCGCTATCGGCTCGATGTCCTGTCGGACGCAGCCGTCCCGAGGGGGGGGGGGGCCACCTCCTCCCCCCCTCTCAGAAGAGGTACTCCCTGTGGGAGCCGAACACGATGATCTTGCCCCCCTCGGTGGCCGCCAGCCTCCTCCACCTGAGGAAGGCGGCACGCTCACCACCCGAGGGGGCGACGGCGATGATGAACTCGCCGTTCAGGTGGGCGCCCTCCAGGATGAGGAAGTGGTTGTGCTGGGAGGCGCCGTGGGCGCCAGTGCGGTTGAAGAAGGCCTGCTGGTGCCCGATGCTCTGCTGGTGCCCGTTGGTGTGCTGCTGTTTCCCGCAGGTGTGCTGCTGGTTCCCGTAGGCGTGTTGCTGGTTCCCGTCGGAGCGGGGCGGAGGCTTGGCCCCCAAGTGGGCCGTCCTCCTGGTCTGGGCGGGTCGTCGTAGGGCCTACCCCCTCGCCCTGCAGGGGTGTCGTGGTTCTCGGTGTACGTGGTTTCGCCGTCGTACTCGCTGTCCGTGGCGTTGCTCTCTGTGTCGTTCTGGCTCGCTGGGTCGCTGTCGTCGAGTCGGCCGTCGGAGTCCTCCCCGTGAGAGTGGTCCTGGGGCCGCTCGAGGTGGCTGCGCAGGTCGAACGAAACCCTGCGTCTCGCTGGCTGCCTCGGGTCGCCGCCTGCTGCTTCTCGCAGGCTGCCTCGCGCCGCCGCTGTACTCGTGGTGGTAGCCGTCGGAGTCCTCCTGGAAGGAGTGGTCCTGGGGCTGGTGGCGGCGTCATCCTTGGTCGCGCGCTGGCCGCGGGCGTCGTCGTGCTCGGACGCGTCGCCCTGGTCGGCCGCGGACCAGTGGGCGCTGGTTACGACACCAGCGAAAATCGCCTCGATGCGTGCTGGAATGGGGATGCCGTCGGCGGCCATGGAGACGAAAGCAGCCGCGTTGGGCGCGCAGATGCCTGCCGCCTCTAGTGCCGCGCGGGCCGCGGATCGCCACTGCGCACCCGATCTCGCCGCAGCTCCGATGACCTCAGCTGCCACGGCAATCTTCTCACGCGCCTGGGTGCCGCCAATGCGCTGATTCGTCAGCTGCAACTTCGTCATGCTGCAGCTGATGGTGTCGGGCTTCGTCTTCGACTCCGAAGGTGGGTCGTCGAGGGGCGTCGTCGAGGGGCATCGTCGATGGACGTCAAGGGTGGTCGAGGGGTGTCGTCGTGGGGAGTCGTCGAGAGACGTAGTCCGTCGAGAGGAGCTGTAGTCTCTTCTAGCACCACTGCCCGCGGCCGCCCTGATCGCACCACTGCCGTCTCTTCTCGCACCACTGCCGCCCGTCTCTTCTCGCACCACTGCCGTCTTTTCTCGCATCACTGCCCGCTGCCGGCTCCTCGCACCGCTGCCTGCGGCCGCCCCGATCGCGACGTTGTAGCTGTTCACGTCGGGCTCTTCCTTCGCCTCCCGCTTCTCGCAGACGCTGACCACAGGGATGGAGCTGGAGCGCACTGGTCCTGTCTTAGCCTCTTTCTGTCCACGGTCCTTGACTGCAGCGCTGTAGCTGATCGTGTCTGGCTCAAGATTCGCCTCCGACTTACCGTCCTCGCAGCTGTCGCGAGAGCTGCCAGTGCCTGTCCTGTGGCTGGGTCTGCCACTGCCTGCCTTATCGCATGGGCCGCCACTGCCTGCCTTCTCACACGGATCGGGGACAGCAGCAGGTGGCGGTGAGGAAGTGTTGTTTTGGTCCCCGCTTTGCGCGCACTCTGGTTCTGCCTTCGCTTCACGCGCGCTCTTGTTCTGGGTTGTATCTTCACCCACGTCTGGCAGCCAGCGAAGGGCCCAGAAAGGAAGAGACTGCTGTTCTTGATGCGGCTGCTGCCATTCTTGATGCGGCTGCTGCCATTCTTGATGCGACTGCTGCCATTCTTGATGCGACTGCTGCCAAAGATCGGCCTCCTGCTGTTCTGAGCTGTAGCAGATCACGTCTCGGGAGGTCTGCACCTGGACGACAATATATTTAATGTTCGCCTGCTGCCCACGTCTACTTTTCTCATAAGGAACGGCGTCAGATCTGCCGAGGTTGGCGGCAATTGTCCGCCAGTCTTTCAGATCGATCTGCTTGCCCTTCCTGGCCGCGTAAGAAACACGGCAAACCGCGGCTCGGATGGGCCACGGTCTCGACTCCTGTCGGCTCTTCTTGATCTCGTGAGAAGTCGCCCCCGTCCGCCCGCTCTGCACCTGGCGGCGGACGGGAGGCATGGGGCCGGCCCGCAGGGCCCGCGCGCGCGGCGGCGGGGGGCCCAGCCTCCTCCTCCTCCTCCTCCTTGAGCCAAAATGGCTTGAGCCAAAATGGCTACGGACGCTTCTCCTCCTCCTCCTCCTCCTCCTCTGCCCGTCGCCCTGGCACTGCCTGGCGAGGCGCTGCGTCTGAGCGCTCTCGGCGAAAAGGACCTCACGAAGCATGCGATCAAGCCGAACACAAAATATTTCTTAGAAGGCTTCAATCAGCTTCGACCACTGCTGTTCTTGCGACCGCGTCAGGATGTGTCGGGCAAGTTGGACGCTTCAGCGATTTCCAAGCCGTTTCAGAAAAGCTCGCGCTCGGAAATCAGGCGCGCCCAGCTTCAGGTCTGGGATGGCCTGAACCATCGACCTTCAGGTGGTCCTTTTAGACTGCGTGTGTTTTTCATTTGGGTGCCGCGGCGTTTTTCTTGGAGGCTCTCTATGGGCCTTGCTTTGTTTTTGGTGTGAGTGGCAGAGCTTCTTGAGCGAGGCGTGATTGACGTGCGTTGCTCGATTGCGCAAAAGTGGCCGCATCCATTCTGTTGCCCCGTTTCCCTTAAAACGCTTTGCTCGCGAAACCGATGACAGTGAATTTGCGGCAAGCCTTGTCGGTGGCGCCCCCTGTGATTTGAAGATTTGGAAGATCCCAGCCTGGTCTCGCACAAGAGACGGGGGCGAGACCTTCAGGGGTCCCCCCGTGTTGAACAAATCACGACGTCGGAGGATCTGGTCATCGTCCCTCCCTCTTGCTTCTCTAGAGATTCAGATGCCCTGACCTCTGGGCCACTTCCGAGAACCCGGTTTTTCGCATCGGATTCGTCGTGGCGCCAACGAACATTGGCGGAACCAATCCGCACTGTCTGTGTCAGTAGGTTGAGGTTTAGGTTCGTCTTTTCCTCCCGCCCTCGGGGATCCTGTACTCCGCGTTTCTTAATAAGCGTCGGGGTGCGTCACCCCCGTCGACAGCCCCGCGTCGACCCCCGTCGCGGGCAGCCGCCGCGCGCCGAAGGCGCTCCGCCCCCCGTCGCGGCGCGACGACGAGGCGAGGTTGGCCCCCTGTCGGGGGGGGCCTCTCCCACGCTGATGAGGCCTTCTCGAGGAGGAGGAGGAGGAGGAGGAGGAGGAGGAGGAGGAGGAGGAGGAGGGAGTAGGAGGAGGAGGAGGAGGAGGGCCGATTCTGGGCGACCTCGAGTAACCACACCAACACACATTCCGGACGTCCGATGGCGGTTGCTACGCTGGTGCGTAATTATTGCCCATCCGCTGACCCTCGAAGGCGCCAGACGGCCCGCTTTATTGTTGTGAGGGGCGAGGTAGCAGCAGGAGGAGGAGGAGGAGGAGGAGGAGGAGGAGGAGGAGGAGGAGAGGGAGGAGGGGGGGGAGGGGCAGAGGGGAGGGGGGGGGGGAAGGGGAGGGAGAGGGGGAGGCGGGGGAGAGGGGAGGGGGAGGGGAGGGAGGAGGGAGGGAGGGAGGGAGGGAGGAGGACGAGGAGGAGGAGGAGGAGGAGGAGGACAGGAGGAGGAGGAGGAAGAGGAGGAGGAGGAGGAGCACGAGCACGACGAGCGGTGGCAGAACAGGGAGTTTTGGAGCAGAATGCGAAGATTCAGGCACCTGCGAATCACAGGAGGGGGGGAGGAAGGAGGCAAGAGCGCGGCAGGGGGAAGGAGGATGGGAGGATGGAAGCGTAAAACACATGAACCAGTAACACCAATTTTCGGATGTTTCCGCGGATGTACTGGATCGGCGCTGGACCCCCCTGGCGGCGACTGCGGCGCCGTCCTTGGCATGTTCCGTGCGCCAAAAAGATAGTTTCAAGTACCGTTCCAGGTGAGATGTGTGGACCTCCGACACACGCGTACGCCGATTCGTGCAATCCGAATCGGAGACAGTCTGGAGAGGAAATGAGTGGACAGGAGCAGGGGGATGGGAGTGGAAGGGGACGGAGTGGAAGAAACAATTGGTTGAGGAGGAAGAAACAGTTGGTCCAGACTCGTTTGGCGTGCGCCTCCGCAAGCAGCATTGGCGTTGCGTGGCGTCGACTTGCTGTGCGCTCGCGGTGATACTCGACGTGCCATTTCGTGTTTCGCGAGCCGAGGAGCTGCAGAAACAGGCCGAGGAAGCGGAGAGGGCGAGGCAGAAGGAGGAGGCCCCGTTTTGCAGTGCTTCGCCGTCTCTCTCCGTTGTTTTCTGGTCCACCTCAATCCTTTGTTTGTTGCTCGCCAGATGCCACTTCATAGTTGTGCGTGTGCTTGTTCCCGTAAGCGTGAGCATAGCGGCAGTTCTATGCCACAGTCCTGTCTCCAGTCTTCCGTCGATCTCCCCATTTTGTCCCCTATAATTAAGTCAAGAGGCTTGTGCCATTCCGCCGATCCCCAGACGAAATGAGGTGCCCATGGAAGTTGCTAGAGCGAGGCGCGGGCTAGAATGTCGTACATGACAACATGGACTTCAGCCATGTTTGGCTGACATATGTTGAGGAGGTGGACAGCCAAGGATCTCACATGCTTCAGTACTTCTGGCAAGCGGGCGTCGGCGGTTTCAGACAACGCCAATTTCGTGGCAAGCGAAACAGACGCGCGCCATCGTTTCTTCAGCTTCTCCTGCTGCCATCACACATGTACCATGCAGTGGGCTTGTATTTCTCTGTGGCAATACCCATTGTCTTGCGGCCCATCCCGCCACCGTGCCTGGCTGTGTGTTCAGAGGCCGTTTGGATGCATGTGAGGGTGTCTCGGGATGCCTCTCGGGGATCTTTTGGACGGCTCTTGGGGGCTTCTGGGGGGCCTCTTGGGGCCTCTTGGGGCGTCTTGGGTTTTTTTGAGGGCTTCTTGGGGGGCCTCGGGATCCTCTGGGAGGCTCTTGGGGCCACCTTGGAGCGGAGGGCTTTAGATGTCCGTTCGTGCTCCCCCTCTGGGGCCCCTCTTGGATGCTTCTAGGGTTGAGGAGGACGATCAATGGAGAGGAACCGGCAAATACTTTCCAGATGTCAGAAAATGTTTAAACATTGGTTTAAACATGTAAAACCAGTTTAAAATATTTCCAGCACATTTTTCCGACATTTTTTGAACACATCTTTCATTCGATGATAGGACTGTTAGGATGTCCATTGTCGTGGCATCCACAACTCTAGGGGTCTTGGGGGCCTCTTGGGCCATCTTGGTTCCCTCTTGGAGCGTCGTGGTGCCGTCCTGGAGGCTCAGTTCAAGGGGAGATGACCAGTGGGACCTGTACATGCAGCGCGCCCCTCCGCTGCCCCTCTGGCTCAGGCATGCGCGCCCAATTTGTCTAACGACGGATTTGTCGGTACGATCTGAGAGGAAAAGGATCCCCATCCTTCTCGTCACCATCACATCTCATTCCTCACCATACACGTCCAATAATGTCCAGGATATGGACCGGTGACCGATATGACGTTACCACGCTACTTTCGACTTGGCAGCGGAGCTGACCGCATTCTCGTGTGGCTGGCTCTTGCTCTCGTCCACTTCCTCCACGGCACGATCTATGCGACCGTTGTCTTCTCCAACCTTGAACCGACAACCTATCCGCAACTTCGTGGATCTGTTCGAGATGAACTTGGAACGAGCTCCAACCACAAGAGCCTGCACGAAACGTTCGACCTACTTCGACCATTCGGAGGTATTCTAAACCTGTCGAACATGTATATACATTGAAAACTGAACGGAGGGCTCCCAACGGCTCTAGCACGGAAGCGTATCGCGCGGAAGCGCGCAAAGTCTGCAATCAAGACGCCTTACCAGCCCCTCTACGACGGACTCCACATGCAGAGATGTGCCTAACCAAGTCTATGCGCACATTAAGTATATTATAGTGATCGTCTATGCCATCATTTGGCTGTGGTGGAAACCGTTGCAATAATACGCCTTTTTCCCTAGTGGGATCCTGCTGGGACTGCACCGTTTCGGAAATTTGTTTACGAAGTCAATGCTTGGCAGGCGGCCATGGGAGGAATATCGCTATGCGCATACGGCCTGACCTCATAACCTTGGTGTTGGACAGACGCGGCCATCACACCGACCCTGTAACATCCATCATGGTTATCCTGAGCATGACACCAGGGCATATTGAAGATGCGAGCCAGCTCACTTCAGGCACTCAATTGATTGACTTCCACGTGCCTGACAACGAGCAAATCGACGAAACTCCTGCCAGGTTCGACACGGCCCGCTTGGAAGTACAGTCAGCAGGATTTGTCATCTCCAACTTCCAACTTCTAACCACGGTATTGTTCCCCGCCCTTGGCGTAGACATTCAACGTGCAACGCAGTCGTTTCAACCGCTGAACATCCAGATGCCCTGCGTACAGGTGGAATGTGCAACGCTGCTGGAACGCATGCGGCCCGTAGGACAAATGGCAGAACTATCGCCAGGGAACACCGGCGCAGTATTTGGGAGGGGAAGAAGAGGTGGAGATAATAATGCTTCACGCCATGCGTTTGCCACCGATAAACCGGAGCCTGAAAGCGGGCCGAACCGCAGTGCCTCGGCAGATGAGGGCGATGAAACAACTGATATGTAGGCCCGACCCCAGGCATCAAACAGGAATGCTGGCCCGCAGAACAGGAGTGCTACATGCTTTTCGGCATGCCCTCAACACTCCACCGCACCGCATGGCGGAGCAAACCCCGCCAGCCAATCCTTCGCCGCGGATGCCGACTTCGACTCAGGTGCGGAGTCCGACATTGTTACATCCGGCGTCGCCGAGGCATTTGTTTGATCGGACGGCTGGTCAAAATATGGGGAAAGATGACCAGATGGGGGATCAATCTATCCCGGCTAGTGTAGCAGGCACAACGGAGGCGGAGGAGGTTTATCAGAAAGCCAGTGCGACAGGAGAGACGGATGACCAGGAGGATGGTTCGAGAGGAAGGCGCAGGCAAGAAAGAGCGGAGACGCTTGCACGGTCGGGGCATTGTTGAGCCATCGCGCGCGTCGCGGACGATCGACGCGACGAAACTCTGCGTTGGGGAAAGGGCGGATGCCGAGGTCGTGAGGCGCCGTGGGAGGGGGGAGGCAGAGACGGGACTTCCCGGGGCCGTGGCAGACAAGATTTCAAGTGACACAACTGTGCTCGCGAGAGGCACCGCGTCGAAGGGTGCCCGGGGAAGGGTGGGGGTGGGGCCCCCGGCGCCGACGCTCACTTTTGCTAGAGCGCTGAGGGCACCGTATGATATGGCTGTCTTGCAGTTTACAGACGTGTGGGGTCCCTATCTTTA